ATTTGACATTCATGGTATGCAACGACGTCGATCAATTACGTGTAATCCCCATCCAGGTGTTTAAAAAAATGAGTCTGGATGACCGCATGCTATTCGCTTCGTCGTACGGTCGGTTTTTGTGGCGAGAGCCATTAAATTTATTGTTAACATAACGTTGGCAGATAACTGCTGTTTGTTATATCGCCGAACGGATATAAACGTAGAATAAATAACCGACTGACTGTGAAATATATGGACTTGCGGTACATCGGACTTTCTTCTCTTTGTATCCTAAAAGATGCGAGGATATCTTCAGTACGATGCAGAGATTGGAAAGGCACCTCGATCAGACCACGGAAAACGCGGATCAATACTCAACCAAGGCGCTGGTAAACAAAACCTTTACACATATTATTTTAATTTACGGTGAGGGTCTTCGAAATGCTACCGAGGTTTCGCGACTACATGCAGATCGTTTTTCAAGATCCTTCGTCATTTCTTTTATTGTTTTACATGTGTCTATCTATCGCAGACAACTTTGAACAATAGTGACAATAGACAGAGCCGTACTTGAAATTTCTTTTCGATAAGCGGCGAGTACTTTTACATTTTCGTTTTTACTTTTACCGAAAATTAGCTCTTTAATTGCAAAAAAGTCTTAACTTTCACCCTATATCACTAATATTGTAACCTGTGACATGGAGATAAAGCGACAAAGTATCTATTTAATAGCGAACGAGGCACTTTAACAATATCAGAATGACGAGAATAATCGTCATTTTATAGCGATTAGAGCAGCCAGCAGGCGCGCATGGTTGTTACTCTTGCGTATAAAACAAAATGATTAGTATACTTTTACGTAGCGTGCATTAGCGACTGTCAAAGCTAATGGCTCGTTCATAGGTCGCATAAATAACATGCAGAGCTTATAGTACAGGATCTCGTTTATCTACTAGGACATGTCCGTTATTATATACTAAATGACATGTAGAAAATGCAACACCGACTAGGAGTGCTGTAATGCTGAGCATACTTTTAAAAGTTTCAGCTATGCGGATTATGGGATTGATGTTTTGGAGTATGAGAGATATCATTCTGATTGAAAAATAATATTCCGAGATGGGGTTCAGACACAGAATATCCAAAGTTGTATACATAACGGGATCTTGCACTATTAAGGCATGTCTCGGGAGTGGATATGAAATACAGATGGACAAAGAAGCTACAGCGATTTCATATACACAACACCGTTAATCGATAATATTAAGCGGTGATCTTTTGTTCGATTTGGTAGTAATTGGTATAATTGGTAGGGATGCGGAAATTGTCGTATGACGTCGACGCGGTTTTTCCGTTTTTTTTCCCGGTTCGCGGTACGTTCGGAGGGAAAGAGGTACCGTTTCGGAAAGTAGAAAGTCGACGCTTTACCGGGAAGCGGGAGCCGTCGCGGTGAGAGGAACGGATCGGATCGAAAACGGCCGGTAAAGTCGAAAAAACCGGTAGATTTTCGTTCTGTCCGACGTTCAACATAGGTTTCCGCCGAAGATAAAGGAGCTGCGAACCTGGCGATTTTTGCGCGAGAAAGCCCCGGCTTCGGGCTCAAAGATAGCGGCTTTCTTTTTTTTTCTTTATGCCTTTTCGTTCGAAAATTTCGATTTTTTTGATTTCCTCGACTACGCGCTACTTTCCGATTTTTCCGGTTTTTTTCCGGGTTCGCGGAACGTTCGGAAGGAAAACGATACCGTTTCGGAAACTAGAAACTCGGCGCTTTACGATGGAGCTAGAGTTGTCGCGGTAGGAGGAACGAACGCGATCGAAAATGGCGGGTAAAGTTGAAAAATCGGTAGATTTTCGTGCCGTTCGACGCGCTTTTTCTATCTCCTCCGAAGATAAAGGAGCTACGAACCTGACGATTTTTGCGTGAGAAAGCCCGGACATCGGACTCAAAGATAGCGTCTTTTTTTTTCCTTTATCCCTTGTCGTTCGAAAGTTTCGATTTTTTTAAAATTGCCCGACAACACGCTACTTTTCGACGCGCGAAAAAGTCACTTTGTCATCCGGCTCTGTCCTCGCCTATTACTACCGTACGTGAGCGAGTAAAAATTATACAGCTATCGAAAAATAACGATAATGAGCTGAGGAAACGATTCTGACCGTTAGAATTACCGTCAAATTTCGAAAAAGTAAACTTTGAGCGCCTCAAAAGTACCGATGACAGCCGTTTTTCGGCGTACTTTGTCTTCGTCGATACGGACCTGCGTTACGGAGCGACGTAGCTACGATTTTTTTTCGCAAAACGAAAGACCAAAGTCTCCTGATTAAACCGACATACGACACGTTACCCGATCGCATTTTTTAAACTCGGCAGATTAGAAAATTCAAAGATATGCAGATATTTTTAGTTTGAAGTTTCAATTTTGAATTTCCCCTTCAGATCCCCGGATTCCTGTTAGGCGGGGTAATGTAGGTATAATCGTATTACGAAAGCGAGCGAGTGCGAGCGGAACGTCCGAAACGTGCCATTTTCGGCTTTATGTTGGTCGCTTCATCGAATATTGGATCACGCCAAATAGAATTGTCCTTTTTTACGCGTGAAAATCAACATTTTCGAACAGATTCAGAATTTCTATATTTCATAGTCTAAACGGACCGGACTATAGCCATTATTATAATGATAATCAAGTATGCCTTGGCAACGATGTAATTTTACCGGCAGCTAAGCATTTAGGCTTTGACGTTTAGCGATTTGTTTACAAAAGTCATCATCACTTTCAATACGATAAATATGATTGTAAACCCTAATGAGTGGCATAATTTTAGATGAACGTTTATATGGATCCATCCTAAAAAGGCAACAAGTCCACAATATAGCAAAACTTTGTGCTTATAGCAGTGTGTCTCGCAAGTGTCTAGTGGTGCCGAGTGTTTAGTTTTTCGGTTCAGACGACGTACCGCAGTGTATCTATAGATAATTTAGTTCATCTTTCAAGACGTTTGAGAGCGGTTTAAAAGGTAGCCTTATTAATCGTCAGCAAATTTAAATGAGGTAAACAATTTTCATTCCTGTCTTTTACCCCCAACTATGTAGTGGAATCGGGTGTGACGGTTAGCAATTTGTAGAAGTCATCATCAGCTTAAATACGACAAATATGATTGTAAGACCTAATTAGTGCCAAAGATCAATTCCTGAAGAGACCAGAAATCCACAACATTTGAGCAAGACTTTGTGCTTATAGCATAATAATATAATAACAAATAACAACAGTCTAGTGATACCCGGTGCCTAGTGTTTACAGTTTTTCGGTTCAGACGAAGTGCCTCAGTGTATATCTATCGTGATAATGTATTTCATCCTTGAAGAAGTTTGAGAGGTACCCTTATTAATCGTCAGCAGAAGGTAAACATAATTTTCATTCCTGTCAAATCATAAAACATTTACACTGAAGAAAGAACGTGCTATCCTTAGGCGAACACGGTTCACATATGTCAAGTGTCAAGCGCCATTTTTTGTAAGTGCGGTAGCTAGACATGCGACGTTGCCGGATCCTCACATAAATCGGAGTTTGTCATAAAATTTTATAGAGGGCATTAATGCTATATCGAACATTTTATAATGCCATTGTGTGTTATTTATGGTGACACATGCGACGTTGCCGGCTCCTCACATAAATCTGAGTTTGTCATACGATTTTATAGAGGGCATTAATGCTATATCGAAGATTTTATAAGGCCATTGTGTGCTATTGATGGTGACACATGCGACGTTGCCGGCTCCTCACATAAATCTGAGTTTGTCATACAATTTTATAGAGGGCATTAATGCTATATCGAAGATTTTATAATGCCATTGTGTGTTATTTATGGTGACACATGCGACGTTGCCAGCTCCTCACATAAATCTGAGTTTGTCATACAATTTTATAGAGGGCATTAATGCTATATCGAAGATTTTATAATGCCATTGTGTGTTATTTATGGTGACACATGCGACGTTGCCAGCTCCTCACATAAATCTGAGTTTGTCATACAATTTTATAGAGGGCATTAATGCTATATCGAAGATTTTATAAGGCCATTGTGTGCTATTGATGGTGACACATGCGACGTTGCCGGCTCCTCACATAAATCTGAGTTTGTCATACAATTTTATAGAGGGCATTAATGCTATATCGAAGATTTTATAAGGCCATTGTGTGCTATTGATGGTGACACATGCGACGTTGCCGGCTCCTCATATAAATCTGAGTTTGTCATAAAATTTTATAGAGGGCATTAATGCTATATCGAAGATTTTATAATGCCATTGTGTGTTATTTATGGTGACACATGCGACGTTGCCAGCTCCTCACATAAATCTGAGTTTGTCATACAATTTTATAGAGGGCATTAATGCTATATCGAAGATTTTATAATGCCATTGTGTGCTATTAATGGTGACACATGCGACATTGAAAAATGAAAAATGAATGAATAATGAAAAATGCAAAATGAAAAATGAAAAATGAAAAACGAAAAATGAAAAATGAAAAACGAAAAACCAAAAACGAAAAACGAAGAACGAAAAACGGACAACGGAAAACGGACAACGGAAAACGGAAACGGAAAACGAAAAATGAAAACTTATAAAAGACGACAGGTACCAGATACCAGATACCAGATACCAGATACCAGAAACCAGATACCAGATACCAGACACCAGTTACCAGTTACCAGACACCAGACACCGGATACCAGATACCAGACACCAGATACCAGACACCAGATACCAGATACCAGAAACCAGATACCAGATCCACATACCAGATACTAGATACCAGATACTAGATACCAGATACTAGACACCGGATACCAGATACCAGAAACCAGATACCAGACACCAGATACCAGATACCAGATACTAGATACCAGACACCAGATACCAGACACCAGATACCAGATAGCAGATACCAGAAACGAGATACCAGATACCAGACACCAGATACCAGATAAAAAGATAACAGATACCAAATACCAGATACCAGATACCACACACCAGACATCAGATACAAGACACCACATACGAGATACCAGATACCAGATACCAGACACCAGATACCAGATACCAGATACCAGACACCAGATACCAGACACCAGATACCAGACACCAGATACCAGATAACAGACACCAGATATCAGATATCAGATACCAGATACTAGACACCAGATACCAGATACCAGATCCACATACCAGATACCAGATACCAGACACCAGACACCAGATACCAGACACCAGACACCAGGCACCAGATACCAGACACCAGACACCAGATACCAGACACCAGATAGCAGATACCAAAAACGAGATACCAGATACCAAATAAAGAGATAACAGATACCAAATACCAGATACCAGACACCAGATACCAGACACCACATACGAGATACCAGATACCAGATACCAGACACCAGATACCAGATACCAGACACCAGATACCAGACACCAGATACCAGATACCAGAAATCAGACACCGGATACCAAATACCAAGTACCAGATACCAGATACCTGATACCTGATACCAGACACCAGATACCAAACACCAGACACTAGATACGAGACACCAGATACCAGACACCAGACACCAGACACCAGATACCAGATACCAGACACCAGATACCAGATACCAGATACCTGATACCAGATACCAAACACCAGACATCAGACACCAGATACCAGACACCAGACAACAGACACCAGACACCAGATCCCAGACACCAGACACCAGATACCAGATACCACACACCAGATACCAGATACCAGACACCAGATATCAGATACCAGACACCAGATACCAGATAAAGAGATAACAGATACCAAATACCAGATTCCAGATACCAGATACCAGACACCAGATACCAGATACCAGACACCAGATACCAGACACCAGACACCAGATACCAGATACCAGACATCAGATACCAGATACCAGACATCGGATACCAGATACCAGATACCAGATACCAGATACCAAATACCAGATACCAGATACCTGATACCAGATACCAGATAAAGAGATAACAGATACCAAATACCAGATACCAGACACCAGATACCAGATACCAGACATCAGATACCAGACACCGGATACCAGATACCAGATACCAGACACCAGATACCAAATACCAGATACCAGATACCTGATACCAGATACCAGATCAAAGATGCCAAAGGATAAAAAATGATTAGAGATAGGGATAAAGTTATCGCTAGCATTGCATTAGCATACCAGCAACTGCGCTACGTGAGGTTTTAAATAAAGACATCAACGTGCAATATTTTGCATAGCGTTAGCGTGCCAGCAACTGCGCTAGTCGATAATATTAAGCGGTGATCTTTTGTTCGATTTGGTAGTAATAGGTATAATTGGTAAGGGTTCGGAAATTGTCGTATGACGTCGACGCGGTTTTTCCGTTTTTTTTCCCGGTTCGCGAAACGTTCGGAAGGAAAGCGATACCGTTTCGGAAAGTAGAAACTCGGCGCTTTACCGGGAAGCGGGAGCCGTCGCGGTGAGAGGAACGGATCGGATCGAAAACGGCCGGTAAAGTCGAAAAAACCGGTAGATTTTCGTTCTGTCCGACGTTCAACATAGGTTTCCGCCGAAGACAAAGGAGCTGCGAACCTGGCGATTTTTGCCCGAGAAAGCCCCGGCTTCGGGCTCAAAGATAGCGGCTTTCTTTTTTTTTCTTTATGCCTTTTCGTTCGAAAATTTCGATTTTTTTGATTTCCTCGACTACGCGCTACTTTCCGATTTTTCCGGTTTTTTTCCGGGTTCGCGGAACGTTCGGAAGGAAAACGATACCGTTTCGGAAACTAGAAACTCGGCGCTTTACGATGGAGCGAGAGTTGTCGCGGTAGGAGGAACGAACGCGATCGAAAATGGCCGGTAAAGTTGAAAAATCGGTAGATTTTCGTGCCGTTCGACGCGCTTTTTCTATCTCCTCCGAAGATAAAGGAGCTACGAACCTGACGATTTTTGCGTGAGAAAGCCCGGACATCGGACTCAAAGATAGCGTCTTTTTTTTTCCTTTATCCCTTGTCGTTCGAAAGTTTCGATTTTTTAAAAATTGCCCGACAACACGCTAATTTTCGACGCGCGAAAAAGTCTCTTTGTCATTCGACTCTGTGTTCGCCTATTACTACCGTACGTGAGCGAGTAAAAATTATACAGCTATCGAAAAATAACGATAATGAGCTGAGGAAACGATTCTGACCGTTAGAATTACCGTCAAATTTCGAAAAAGTAAACTTTGAGCGCCTCAAAAGTACCGATGACAGCCGTTTTTCGGCGTACTTTGTCTTCGTCGATACGGACCTGCGTTACGGAGCGACGTAGCTACGATTTTTTTTCGCAAAACGAAAGACCAAAGTCTCCTGATTAAACCGACATATGACACGTTACCCGATCGCATTTTTTAAACTCGGCAGATTAGAAAATTCAAAGATATGCAGATATTTTTAGTTTGAAGTTTCAATTTTGAATTTCCCCTCCAGATCCCCAGATTCCTGTTAGGCGGGGTAATGTAGGTATAATCGTATTACGAAAGCGAGCGAGTGCGAGCGGAACGTCCGAAACGTGCCATTTTCGGCTTTATGTTGGTCGCTTCATCGAATATTGGATCACGCCAAATAGAATTGTCCTTTTTTACGCGTGAAAATCAACATTTTCGAAAAGATTCAAAATTTCTATATTTCATAGTCTAAACGGACCGGACTATAGCCATTATTATAATGATAATCAAGTATGCCTTGGCAACGATGTAATTTTACCGGCAGCTAAGCATTTAGGCTTTGACGTTTAGCGATTTGTTTACAAAAGTCATCATCACTTTCAATACGATAAATATGATTGTAAACCCTAATGAGTGGCATAATTTTAGATGAACGTTTATATGGATCCATCCTAAAAAGGCAACAAGTCCACAATATAGCAAAACTTTGTGCTTATAGCAGTGTGTCTTGCAAGTGTCTAGTGGTGCAGAGTGTTTTTCGGTTCAGACGACGTACCGCAGTGTATCTATAGATAATTTAGTTCATCTTTCAAGACGTTTGAGAGCGGTTTAAAAGGTAGCCTTATTAATCGTCAGCAAATTTAAATGAGGTAAACAATTTTCATTCCTGTCTTTTACCCCCAACTATGTAGTGGAATCGGGTGTGACGGTTAGCAATTTGTAGAAGTCATCATCAGCTTAAATACGACAAATATGATTGTAAGACCTAATTAGTGCCAAAGATCAATTCCTGAAGAGACCAGAAATCCACAACATTTGAGCAAGACTTTGTGCTTATAGCATAATATAATAACAAATAACAACAGTCTAGTGATACCCGGTGCCGAGTGTTTACAGTGCCTCAGTGTATATCTATCGTGATAATGTATTTCATCCTTGAAGAACTTTGAGAGGTACCCTTATTAATCGTCAGCAGATTTAAATAAGGTAAAAATAATTTTCATTCCTGTCAAATCATAAAACATTTACACTGAAGAAAGGACGTGCTATCCTTTGGCGAACACGGTTCACATATGTCAAGTGTCAAGCGCCATTTTTTGTAAGTGCGGTAGCTAGACATGCGACGTTGCCGGATCCTCACATAAATCGGAGTTTGTCATACAATTTTATAGAGGGCATTAATGCTATATCGAAGATTTTATAAGGCCATTGTGTGCTATTGATGGTGACACATGCGACGTTGCCGGCTCCTCACATAAATCTGAGTTTGTCATACAATTTTATAGAGGGCATTAATGCTATATCGAAGATTTTATAATGCCATTGTGTGATATTTATGGTGACACATGCGACGTTGCCGGCTCCTCACATAAATCTGAGTTTGTCATACAATTTTATAGAGGGCATTAATGCTATATCGAAGATTTTATAATGCCATTGTGTGCTATTAATGGTGACATATGCGACATTGAAAAATGAAAAATGAATGAATAATGAAAAATGCAAAATGAAAAACGAAAAATGAAATATGAAAAATGAAATATGAAGAATGAAAAATGAAAAACGAAAAATGAAAAATGAAAAATGAAAAATGAAAAACGGACAACGGACAACGGAAAACGGACAACGGACAACGGAAAACGGAAAACGAAAAATGAAAACGTATAAAAGATGACAGACTAGACACCGGATACCAGATACCAGAAACCAGATACCAGATCCACATACCAGATACCAGATACTAGATACCAGACACCAGATACCAGACACCAGATACCAGACACCAGATACCAGATAGCAGATACCAGAAACGAGATACCAGACACCAGATACCAGATAAAAAGATAACAGATACCAAATACCAATACCAGATACCAGACACCAGATACCAGACGCCACATACGAGATACCAGATACCAGATACCAGACACCAGATACCAGATACCAGACACCAGACACCAGATATCAGATACCAAATACCAGATACTAGACACCAGATACCAGATACCAGATCCACATACCAGATACCAGATACCAGACACCAGATACCAGATACTAGATACCAGACACCAGATACCAGACACCAGGCACCAGATACCAGATACCAGACACCAGACACCAGATAGCAAATACCAGAAACGAGATACCAGATACCAGATAAAGAGATAACAGATACCAAATACCAGATACCAGACACCAGATACCAGACACCACATACGAGATACCAGACACCAGATACCAGATACCAGATACCAGATACCAGACACCAGATACCAGATACCAGAAACCAGCCACCGGATACCAGACACCAGATATCAGATACCAAATACCAAGTACCAGATACCAGATACCAGATACCTAATACCAGACACCAGATACCAGACACCAGACACTAGATACCAGACACCAGATACCAGACACCAGACACCAGACACCAGATACCAGATACCAGACACCAGATACCAGATACCAGATACCTGATACCAGACACCAGATACCAGATACCAAACACCAGACACGAGACACCAGATACCAGACACCAGATACCAGATAGCAGATACCAGAAACGAGATACCAGACACCAGATACCAGATAAAAACATAACAGATACCAAATAACAAATACCAGATACCAGATACCAGACACCAGATACCAGACACCACATACGAGATACCAGATACCAGATACCAGACACCAGATACCAGATACCAGACACCAGATATCAGATACCAAATACCAGATACTAGACACCAGATACCAGATACTAGATCCACATACCAGATACCAGATACCAGACACCAGATACCAGATACTAGATACCAGACACCAGATACCAGACACCAGGCACCAGATACCAGATACCAGATACCAGACACCAGACACCAGATACCAGACACCAGATAGCAAATACCAGAAACGAGATACCAGATACCAGATAAAGAGATAACAGATACCAAATACCAGATACCAGACACCAGATACCAGACACCACATACGAGATACCAGATACCAGATACCAGACACCAGATACCAGATACCAGATACCAGATACCAGACACCAGATACCAGATACCAGAAACCAGCCACCGGATACCAGACACCAGATATCAGATACCAAATACCAAGTACCAGATACCAGATACCAGATACCTGATACCAGACACCAGATACCAGACACCAGATACCAGACACCAGACACTAGATACCAGACACCAGATACCAGACACCAGACACCAGACACCAGATACCAGATACCAGACACCAGATACCAGATACCTGATACCAGATACCAGATACCAAACACCAGACACGAGACACGAGACACCAGATACCAGACACCAGACACCAGATACCAGATACCAGAAATCAGACACCAGATATCAGATACCAGATACCAGATAAAGAGATAACAGATACCAGATTCCAGATACCAGACACCAGATACCAGATAACAGACACCAGATACCAGACACCAGACACCAGATACCAGATACCAGACATCAGATACCAGATACCAGACACCGGATACCAGATACCAGATACCAGACACCAGACACCAGATACCAAATACCAGATACCAGATACCTGATACCAGATACCTTATACCAGATACCTTATACCAGATACCAGGTAAAGAGATAACAGATACCAGATACCAGACACCAGATACCAGATACCAGACACCAGATACCAGATACCAGACATCAGATACCAGATACCAGACACCGGATACCAGATAGCAGACACCAGACACCAGATACCAAATACCAGACACCAGATACCAGATACCAGACATCAGATACCAGATACCAGACACCGGATACCAGATAGCAGACACCAGATACCAGACACCAGATACCAGATACCAGACACCAGATACCAGATACCAGACATCAGATACCAGATACCAGACACCGGATACCAGATAGCAGGCACCAGACACCAGATACCAAATACCAGATACCGGATACCTGATACCAGATACCAGATCAAAGATGCCAAAGGATAAAAAATGATTAGAGATAGGGATAAAGTTATCGCTAGCATTGCATTAGCATACCAGCAACTGCGCTACGTGAGGTTTTAAATAAAGACATCAACGTGCAATATTTTGCATAGCGTTAGCGTGCCAGCAACTGCGCTAGTCTTGATATTATATCACGAGACGCTAAGTCAGATGGAAGTTATTCTGTCAGAATGGAATGTAAACATAATACTTCTCTCACACTAGTGAGAAATATTGTGATTTATACCACAAATTAGCTTCGGTCCAACCTTCCAGGATACCCTGTATACAATATACTACAGTGATTCTTCAGTTCTTCAATAACAATGTTAAGAAGAATCTTCATACGATGAAAATGTGGAAGATTTTTTCACCGCGATACCGTTAGATATTTATTGCAACGTCGTTGTAGGTTGTAATATTCAATGGAGATTGAGAAAAACTTTAATAGCTCGTAGTAAAATTTTAATTACTACCGTTCCTACCTGTGCAATAAACGTAAATGACAGCAATTACACGTAGCTTCATAGAAAATATATCGTGATATGTGAGGTATTTCTTACGTCAAGATTGTAATTGAAATACGACACAACGTAGAGGAGAATGAGTCTTTGAACCTAGTTTTAGAGAGTTTGGCAAGCAAACGAGCTTCAGCAGTTATGGAGATTCGTTTATTTCATTATGGTAAACAATTCCGTCGAAATATTATTTAATAACCACGTGGATTAAAAAAAAATTATACAGAATTTTGATATAACAAATACTGCATAAACTTGATTTCCAACGTAATTTTGGCATTTAAGCTATCGATTTATTGGTACCAAATGTCAAAAGAAGCTGACGTTATCTGCTGTAACTTTCCTCGTATATCAGAACTTATACGATTGGCATTCAGATTACGCAGACCAGAATGATCTGTATAATGAATACGCTAGTCGTAAATAAGTTAATTACCAAGGTGATAAAATCGTAGGATCGATCGTAAACCAATAAATTAGAAGCGTTTATCACTGTTACAGTTTAATCTGGGATTTGGTAGACAGATTCCAACTATTAGTCGGTAAATCGCTGATAGATCCAAGCTCGCGTGTGGTCAGCCGTTTTCAATGATACACAACTTTTTTAAACGGTTTATTGCCGCGTTTACAAGTTACCACTGCATTCCTGGGTTTTATGTTTCGTTCTCGGCATCTTGAGAGCACGATATATCCTCGACGCGAGAAAAAACATCAGACGCGATTTTTAGATTCCTTTAACTCATCAATTAATTTGTTTTGAAATTAAAGGCGAAACATTTCGAATGAGCGGTTTAGTCATCACTAACGTTGCCGTTATTGGTTACTGGCGAAGGGTGGAGATTAATAGTCTGGTCAAGCTAGAGATGGAACACGAAAAAACAAAAAATAAAAGTCAGTCGAGTAAGAGTAGTAAACAAAAAACGTTTTTACACGGGAGTGGTCGAGAATATCAAAAAATATGTGTAATAACATTCTTATTGTTAAAAATTTTTAATCTCTTACTATTTCGTTTATTATGCAACTTTTAAATAGTAAATTATTCGATCACAACTCCTTTTGAATAGTCCTATAAGCAGTTAAAATAAATGACGCAACTTTGAAAACAGCCTGTATATTTCCAGAGAGAAACGTTGCATACACGATCTGAAAAACCGCTTAGAATGTTTGCGATACCGTGAATTAAATCGGATACATTTTTTATTGAGTCGGAGTTATTTTCCTGAAAATTTGACATTGACAAATGTGATACGCGATTCCAAATACCTTATTTTCTAAACTACCTTTTCTTCTTTTCCAGCCGAGGGCGACATCTGCCAATTCGCTGCCCTGAAAAGCCACTACCAAAGTCGCAAATGCCCCGCGAAAGACGAAGGCCTGTCCCTGTTCACCGCCGCAAACCGACCGCGCGCTCTCAGCGCCCTCTATGCGGCGGCGACGACGGGACCGGTGGCAGCTGTCAGACAGCTCGATAGATGGCGCAGAGACGGCCAGCGATCTTCAGGGTTCTTCGTTTGTACGCCGGTGCTGCAGGCTAAGCGACGGAGGATGCGCCAGAAAGTGGACATCGAGATCGAGACGAGGATGGTGAGTACCGACATTACGCGGTGACACAATATGACGACAATCAGCGGTGTTATGAAAGTTAATGTTTTTTTTTTTGGTGAGGGGGGAATGCGTTTACGCACCATACCATAGCCCGAGCTACGGCGTGTGTGGGACTCCAGGTTGTCTTGAGGAGACCACCTAATACCCACTAAACCCTAAACCTCCGCGTGGCCCGACTCATCAGCGTCTCGGTAGGCCATGTGTTGTGTGTGACCTGCGGTCTGCTACAACGTCTCTTCATGTGTTTCAGTCTCTGGGAACGCCGGGTTGGTTCCCTTTACCTCGCACATTCTATCGATGTCGTTAAACGATCATCGATAGAGGGTCTGCTAGGTTCTCTTGAAACTCTTGCTTTCGAAAAATCAAGAGTTTCAAGTCCTCTTACCAATATGTTGTTCCTGGTCCTGGTCCTGGTGGGTCCTGGTCATGGCGGGTCCTGGTCCTGGTGGGTCCTGGTCCCGGTGGGTCCTGGTTCCGGTGGTTCCTGGTCCTCTGCATCCACGCCGTGGGGAGAGGGGCAACCGCGGGTTCTCCTATTCTCCTATTCAAGGTTCCAGTTAGCGGGTGCCAACTGGGACCTTGGTCTAGGGTACCTGGTTCTGCGGTTGCGAGGCCTCTCGTCCGGATCGTAGTCCATGAGGAATCGCTCGGGTGGTTCTGAGCTTTCTCGAAGGTGTTCTCCGCTTTTTTCCTCATGTACTCGTGGATGGTGTCCTAATGCAGGTCTCTACGCAAGGTTGAGTTTCTTACGTAGGATGGTGCACTGGTGGCGATCCGGAGTAGCTTCATCTCTAGAGCAGCAAGTCGCTTGCGGTAGCTGGGGGCAGCGTACCCCCAGACCGCGGAGGCGTAAGCGAGCTGAGGTCTGGCGATGGCCTTGATCAGCCGTAGCTTGGTCGCTAGCGGCATCCGGCTGTGTCTACCCAGTAATGGGTAGAGTTGAGCCATGGCTGCTCTGGTCTTTGCGATGACAGCTTCTATGTGGGCTTTCCAGGTGAGGGACTTGTCAAATACGATCCCCAGATATTTGACTCTGTCGCTCCACTGGATATCTTCGTCGAAGATGGATGCTTCGAGAGGTCTTGCAATCCTTCTTCGTTGAATGAAGATTGCCTGCGTCTTCTGGACGTTGATGCGGATTTTCCATTTCACGCACCAGTCCTGGATGTGGTCCAGTTCATCCTGTAGTCTCCTACGGATGATCTCGGGTCGTCTATGCTTGGCGGCTATAGCAGTGTCGTCTGCATATAGGGCCCGCATTGTGTCAGCTGTCTTCGGCACATCGTGAGTATAGATGTTGTAGAGCAGGGGGGCTAAGGCTGACCCCTGGGGCACGCCTGCTTCCAGCTGTCGTCTTGTTGAATGGCATGTACCAATCTTCACCGTGAACCATCTTTGTGTTAGATAGCTCTGGATCAGTTGGCACATGTTCGCATCGATTCCGGCGGCTTCCATTTTGGCAATGAGTCCATCGTGCCAAACTCGATCGAAGGCTCGTTCCACGTCCAGCAGGACGAGACCGGTTGCCTCCTGGAGATTGAAGCCGCTGGTGATGTTTTCTGTCAGTCGTAGCGCTTGGAGTTCCGTGTTGTGGGAGGATCTGAAGCCGAATTGCTCTGGGGGGAGAAGTTGCAGTTCTTCTGCCTGCTTCTCTAGTCGAACGGCGATAGCCTTTTCGACTACTTTGCCCATCGAGGAAACCAGGCTGATGGGCCGGTAGTTCTGGGGCAGCTTCCAGTCCTTGCCTGGCTTGGTGAGCATTATAACCTGGGCTTCCCGCCACCGCCGCGGGAAGTGGTTAAGTCTCAGAGTGGCATTGGCGATGTTGGTGAGCGCAGCAATGCCTTTGGTGGAAAGGTTCTTCAGCATCCTGTTGTTGATGCCGTCCCTTCCCGGAATCGTATCTAGGTGCCCATTCACTCTCTTACGCTGGATCTGTTAATCCAGTCAAACTAGGACATCGCGTGATAATAATGTCGTAGCAATCTGACTGTTATGTATTTATTTCAGCCCGCTGCTGTGGAGGAACTCCGTCGCTGGACCTCGGACGAGGCGCTGGGCGACGTTACTGTGATGCCAGACTGTGCCAGTAGAATTCCACCTGTCACCACCTTCATATCCGACAACCAGGACGCCACTGACGTAGGCAGTGGCGTGGTGTCGTCGGACGATGAAGGGGTCGACCACAAACTGCCGTCGCCCGAAGAGCAATTGCAAGTCATGGCGCTCAAGTAAGTAGATCTTGAATTAAACACATACTACGTTTAAATTCAAATTTCCTCCACCACAAACTGTCATCGCCTGAAGAGGAGTTATGGCGCTCAAGTACGCAGAACGGGACCCATAACCTCACAAAGTTTAAGCGGCTTAGAACTTCGAAATTAAATTGAAGAGACACTATACAATATTTCAGGCAAAATGTTTTTATTGAAATTGAAGTAATAGATGTCTAGAATTAATTTTTGTCCAAAATGAAAATTCATATTTAGACACAATCCCACCCCAAATTGCCACCTCCTGAAGAACAATTGCAAGTCATATAGCGCTAAAGTAAGTTGAACTGGGCCCATAACCTCGCGAAGCTTAACAGATTTACGTTTCCTTCGTTTCTTCAGGTGTCCGGAGGTGTGGGCATGTGTACTTTTGTAGTTGCATATGTGCATTCATTTTGGGCCTGATGAAGCCAACCAGCAGAAATACGTATCGCTCGGGTTACCTATCCTATTTTCTGCTCGAATCGACTTTCCTTCTTTTTGCGGATTTTGCCCATTATATATATATATTTAGAAGCAACAGATCCGTGCATTTAATGATTTTATTTTTGTCCCATTATGCAGGTGTTCTTCATTTTATTGCACGCACTCATGGAATCTGATTATCGTTTTACATAACACTTAGAGAAAGCAGGTTCACTTTTGCTTATTTTGCGACGAATATTTAAGTTCACAGTATTAACGTAAACGGTAACAGATGCATTTGATAAACTATATCATACCCCAGCTTGTACAACATTCAGATAAACTTTTTGGAATATCTCATTACTTTTATACAGCAGAAATCTCTATCTCATGCATAAGATCCAGCCATCTACGAATAGAGTTCCGGTCCTGGGCCCATAACCTCACAAACTTGAAAAACAGCTAATTCCGCCCAAAAACCGTTTCAAATATCGTAAAAACCGTGCCAACGGCGCCACCTACCCTCCCCGTATTCAACCCTCACATTTCTCGTTGCAGATTCCCAGCGCAAGTGGTGGCGGTCGACATAAGCGGCCGCAGTTTCGACCGGATGTCCGCGCAACGGCGCTCGTTGACGCACGCCGATCTCGGCAAACAGCCGGCAGATGGCGACACCGTCGGCAGCGGAGGGGGCACGAGGAGGAGGAGGGGGCGCAGACCGAGGAGCAGACGGAGGAACACGCTGGCGGGCACGGATCAGAAGGAGATCGCTGACGCGCTCAGGTTTGTGCTGGAAATGATGATGCGTTTTGTTATGATGGGGAGATTTGTGAGGTCGTTGGGAACAGTCACGGCAACTTTGAAAAATGTTTACACATACCGACATTTTTGTTTTCGTATCAAAGAATTTCTTGTAGTCTGTAGAGTTTGAAAAAAACATACAATTTATTTGATAAGAATAGAAAACTATGCTGCAGATAAAAAAGCAATCCAAATGGTGGTTGAAGACTGAAGAAGAAGTATAGATGAGAAAGAATGAAATCAAAAGAGGATTTGAGACTATGGATAGGAAAAAATTCTTAATGAAATTGCACCACTATGGTTTTAAATGATTAGTATTGAACGTTTTAAAAAAGTATTTAGTAAATCGAGTGTTGAAGTTTAAAAATAAAAAACATTTTTTTTAATATCTTCAAAACCGTCAACTGGAATGATCTAAAATTTGGCATGTGGATTTACCTAAATATTGTCCACATTCAAAAATTTTTACTTAAAGTTAACGTCCACCAGAGGCGGATATACAGGAAATTAGTGGCATTATTTTTCCAACTAAAAATAGTACGCCACTGTTTTTTGTTTTCGAAAGGCGCAACCAGGTGTTTGACATGTATCGCAGCTGCCATAATCGTTGAACATAACCTCGAATATATACTATATAGTCTGAAAAACAGGACTGAGGTCACGATGCTGATTCATGGAGAAATATAAACGTTGTTGTTATTCTTATTTCATGATTTTTAAGAGCTTTTTCATAAATGCATTTATCTTTGTTGTTGTGACTGGTCCTGCAGATCTCGACGATACTAATAATACGACTAATATCAAGTGTGCAAAAAATGTTCAAAAAATGTTAATAGCATGCTCGTTTGGCTTAATATGGCTAAATATCAGACACCATGTAAATATGAGAACATCTACCGTTTTTTGACGTTTTGTACACATGAACATACACACCGTCACAAAGCTCATTCAAATCGATATGAATAACGATTTTTATAGGCAATAAATACAACATTTGTTGCATAAATACAAATATATAAAGATTTGTAAGTGGACTGGTTTATTTTTGTTGCAGATAATACTTTTCTTCGAAAAATAGACGGAGATATTTTGAAGGGTCGTTCCCTGTTATTCCCTGTTAAAAAAATATGAAAAAAAATTATGAATTAAAAAAATTGCTTAATCGATATCTTAAAAAATGTTTACTCGATGCTATTGAAATTTGGCAATATTATTTGTTCTATTAAGAGGCTAATTTAACCCTAAATAGATTAAAATTATTTGGTCCGGTTAGCACCTAAGCGAATATTATTACCAAAAAATGTACGCCACTGTCTTTTTGGTAACTTTATCATTTGTTGTTTAATTAAGCATCTAAAAATACAACTTCTTTGCCTCTTGTATTTTTTTCGTATCTCACTTCGTTTTATGGAAAAAAAATAAAAACCCTTTTATTGCATGTCACCCGACCAAATTGGTTTATTCATTTTTGCTAAAAAAATCACAAGTGCCTTGGAAAACAAAATCATTTCTGCATGGAGGTTTGACAACATTTGCGCGTTCTTCAAGAAAATAATTACTCACGGAATTTTCCTTGCAAAATTTCTCTAAAAAGAATGTTTAAAAATGTTTATTTTTGTGTCTAAAAAAGGAGGACAGCGTTGTTCGGTATGATCCAAAATATTGGATGAATCGATCGTCATGAAACCGAAAATGACACGTTTTAGACGATTCGCTAACACGAACTTACTTTTCTAATATGTTCATACCTACAATACCCCGCCTAACAGCATTATAGCTCAGTCATTTTAGACATTATTATAGTTCGTAATGTATTAAAAAATATTTGTTTTTGTGTCCAAAAAAGGAGGACAGCGTTATTCGGTATGATCCAAAATATTGGATGAATCGATCGTAATGAAGCCGAAAATAACACGTTTTAGATGATCCGCAAGCATGCACTTATAGTTTTGTAATATGTTCAAAACTACAATATTCCGACTAATAGCGCTATAGATCGTTAATTTTAGACATCCTTAATGATCTGAATATATTGAAAAAAGTTTATTTTTGTTTCCAAAAACGAAGGACAGGGAAATTCAATATTGAATGAAACGATCGCCAAGAAGCCTAAAATTATATGTTATAGACGATCCGCTAGCATGCACTTAGTTTTGTAATATGTTCATACGTACAATACCCCGCCTAACAGCATTATAGGTCAGTTATTTTAGACATTCTTATAGTTCGTAATATATTCAAAAATATGTATTTTTGTGTCCAAAAAAGGAGGACAGCGTTATTCAGTATGATCCAAAATATTGGATGAAACGATCGTCATAAAGCCGAAAATGACATGTTTTAGACGATCCGGAAGTACGCACTTAATTTTGTAATATGTTCATACCTACAATACCCCGCCTAACAGCATTATAGGTCAGTCATTTTAAACATTCTTATAGTTCGGAATATATTCAAAAATATGTATTTTTGTGTCCAAAAAAGGAGGACAGCGTTATTCGCTATGATCCAAAATATTGGATGAATCGATCGTAATGAAGCCAAAAATGACACGTTTTAGACTTAGTTTTGTAATATGTTCAAACGTTCAATATCCCCACTAACAGCGCTATAGCTTGGTAATTTTAGACATTCTTAATGTTCTGAATATATTGAAACAAGTTTATGTTGGTTTCCAAAAAAGGAGGACAGGGGAATTCGGTATGATCCAACATTGGATGAAACGATCGCCATGAAGCCTAAAATTATATGTTATAGACGATCCGCTAGCATGCACTTAGTTTTGTAATATGTTCATACCTACAGTACCCCGCCTAACAACATTATAGCTCGGTAATTTTAGACATACCCAATGTTCGGAATATATTCAAAAATGTTTTTTTTGTGTCCAAAAAAGGACAGCGTTATTCGGTATGATCCAAAATATTGGATGAATCGATCGTCATGAAACCGAAAATGACACGTTTTAGACGATTCGCTAACACGCACTTACTTTTCTAATATGTTCATACCTACAATACCCCGCCTAACAGCATTATAGCTCGGTAATTTTAGACATACCCAATGTTCGGAATATATTCAAAAATGTTTATTTTTGTTTCAAAAAAGGACATCGGTATTCGGTGTGATCTAATATTGGATGAAAACGGTATTACCAAAAGGTTAATTTGTTGTAGGTAGTGTACTTTATGTCATGGCATGGTACCTATTGCAAAAGTTGCAATAGCACTCTTCCCTAGGATTTTTGTTTTAATTTTAGTTTTCCAATGCACTTGTTACTTTTTTAGCAAAGAAGCTGTATTTTTAGATGCTTAATCAAACAACAAATATCAAAGTCACAAACAGGTAGTGACGTACATTTTTTGCCAATAATATTCGCTAAGGTGCTCTCCGGGACGCCACTGAACCTAATAATTTCAATGTATTTAGGCCTAAATTAGTCTGTTAATACAACAGATAATATTACCAAATTTCAATAGAATCGAGTACATATTTTTTTACTTATTAAATTTTTTTTTAATTTATCACCCTATACCTGTATAAGGTGGTTCGTCACGTATTTACTAAAAAGCAATCCTGGATTGGATAATCATATTGAGCCAAAGATTAGTAGTATATTTATTTTTCTTTTATTATCTAATGGCCCAATCTTCCATGTTTCTCTGGATGATTCAAACCACGTTTGTTAAAAAACCATCTTTATTATACGACGTTTTGGTCTCAATGGTGACCTTTTTCAAAAACCAAAAGTTCGTCAGTTTTGGCCTGAAAAATAATGTTCAAAATAACCAAATCTCCGCCTAAGATTTGAATGAGCGTCGCATGCAAACACTAATTTCGCATTACTCAACAGGGCGGACGAAACAACGCCAAACGAAGATACGGATCCGACAACGTCAGGTGTCGCTTGCCGGAGCAAAAGCGGAGACCTTTTCAGATCGTTGCCGTCGAAAAAAGACATCTTGGACATTAAGAAATCTCATTTCGATATGCTCAAACAATGGGGCAAGAGCCGATACGACAAACTGATGAATAAAAGCTCGGAAAGCAAGACTAGCACAGACGTCGACGATTTCAATGTATACGAAACCGTCACCGTGAAAAGAAAGAGAGATGTAGACAAAGAAAGAAAGACACACGAACGAAATTCTTCGATATCTTCCTCGGAAAAGTCCGTGGCAAACGTTCCTGTGACAACTAGCACTCTATCTTCAGTTATGAACATCGCCGTGAAACTTAGAGAGAGCTCAGCTCAAAGAAGGCAAAGACGTGCCGGAAACAACAAAGACGAGCCTCATTCGTCTAGCGGCAATTGGAGCGCTAGCTCAGAAAGCGGTAGAGCTTCAATCGGCTCAGAAATCACAACTCATCCTAAATCTTCCACCTCTGCAGCTACGTCTAATAACTCTTTGAACCAACAACCTCCTAGTTCTGTAGCTAGTAGAAGAAGATTCCCAGTTACAACCTCAGGATCTAGTAGCATGACAAGTGAAGGTACTCTTACACCTGACATTATCCATGACCTACACGAAGATGGAGAAACTAGCTCAGTTTACTCTTGCGACACTGAAGGGTATTACACGTCTTTCCATATGGATAGCGGACTGAAGACGCTCAAGGAGGAAGAAACACCGCCCACACCTCTTCATTCAACGTCTGCCTTTTCCAATAGTGGGTCAAACAACACGGTCCTTTCAGCAGAAAACGAATACGAACTTTTTGGAAAAGGCTCCACGTCCACAACTACCAGCTCAGCAGGAACTGTTTGTACTGCCTTAAGAGCATCTGAAAGCACGAGGTCGTTGGTTATAGGCCCAGCGGTACCTGAAAGGAAGAGCTCTCTATCGAAACTCTCTAGCAAATCGCCAGAAAGTTCTTTAGAACGAGACTTGAGTAGCGATAAAACAGGTACGGTCAAAAGAAGTCCCGCCACCAGCTCCAAACCAACAGTTGTAGCTCTAGTCCATAAAGAAAGTAACAATAACGGCGACGTATCTCCTGATAGCGGTCATAACACTTCCAGCTCCCCGATAGAGTCGATAAGCAGTCCGAACGGTGTGAGGAGCGGTTCGGACTTTGAGTTTTCCGAATCTTCGGATATGGAAGGCCCGGAGAGAATCGAAAGGATACGAGTCAAAACCACAATCAATTCTAGCAGGATACCTTCGATGTGTGTGATAACCCCGCCACACAGCGACGAGGAAAGTGAACACAGCAGTAGCTCCTCTAAAAGGGAGTTTAAAAAGACGTTGCAACCAAAAACAGATACCAAACAGCCTATCCAAAGGATAATATCAACAACTGTGAACGGTTCCAACCAGATTTCGTTGGTGAACGTGAATCCTCAATCAGGTTACGCCACCATACAATCTATAGACCAACCTGACTCCGTTGGAGAAAAAACTGTCAAAACCGAGACGTCCAGGACCATAAGAGCACCTAGTCCTAGCGGAGGTATAGTCATAGTGAAAGAAGAACCTCAAAACAAATCTCCAGTCCAACCGGTGATCAAGGCATCCTTATTGCCTTTGAATAACATGTTTGGAAAAATCAAGATGAATATAGCAAATTTTGCCCAGAAAAGAGACAGAAGCAAGTCACCTAGTGCTAACAAAGATCAACAGACGAAGCTAGAAGAATTTGATGCTGGAGAATACGTCACGATAGCTGATGTTAGGAATAATAATGGCAACAACCTGAAAGCTGTCGAAGACATAACATACGCGAACGATGTTGTCAATAAGAATCTGACAACGGTTTTGTCCGGCAAAATTAGAGACACCGAATACGTTTGCTTAAACGAATTACCTTGCAACGAAAATAACAACGTAGTGAGTAACGTGAACGTAGATTCGCTAGAGCGCAAAAGGCAAGGTGCTAGGGTGAAACTAGACGCAGAAGGCAAAGTGGTGTACAGTTCCGATAGCTTGAAACGAAGAGCTGCCCATACGACGTTCGAACCGGGTCCCAACGTGAAGAACACCATGGACAGCCCGTTGCAGAGTCCGATACCGACGCACCGATTACCGAAAAACCTTCGTCCAGTGAACAACAATCAAGAAAACCGTCCGTTGTCGCCGCAAAGCGGCAAATTGGTGATCAGGGCTTGCTCTGGTCAAACGTCTTCGACTTCGGAGATAATCCGGATGCCTCCGTCCACGATAGTGACACCAGGCACGAGACCGATGTCGCCAAAGTCAAGAGGCGCGTACGTCAGGATGCCCGAGACCGCAAAGTCGCCTGTCATTGGCCAGGATAAAGGTAAGTTGCGCGTGCGTACGAAAAATTCGTTGAACGAAAAAAACGCTAGACGGGTCAGACGGAGCGACAGCTACCGGTTAGCGAACGGTCCCCCGACGAACTTGGAAGCGCTAGACAAGAAGTTGGATATAGTGCATAGATAGAGGAGGAGATAGCGTTAGAGTTATGGCGCGACAGGATCAATATCCGCCGACGGTGTCTCCGAAGATGTGCGAGAGGCAGTGTCACGTTTACAGTCAGGAGCATGCGCAGAAAATGTTGCTGGCTTCGCCTGGGAGGGTGGTGATACCGAGGGATGGGGCCGAGAAGAGTGTCAGGGTTTTGGCGGCGTCCGTTGCTGATACCGAAATTTGGTAGGGATTTTTTTTTTGGGGGGCGAATGCGTTTACGCACCATACCCACTAAACCCTAACCTCCGCGTGGGCCGACTCATCAGCGTCTCGGTAGCCATGTATTGTGCGTGACCTGCGGTCTGGTACAACGTCTCCTCATGTGTTTCAGTATCTGGGAACGCCGGGTTGGTTCCCTTTACCTCGCACATTCTATCGATGTCGTTAAGCGATCATCGATAGAGGGTCTGCTAGGTTCTCTTGAAACTCCTGTTTCCGCGGGTTCTCCTAGTCTCCTAGTCAAGGTTAGGGTACCTGGTTCTGCGGTTGCGAGGCCTCTCGTCCGGATCGTAGTCCATGAGGAATCGTAGCTGCTCGTTCGGGTGGTCCTGAGCATGGGGCCGAGAAGAGTGTCAGGGTTTTGGCGGCGTCCGTTGCTGATACCGAAATTTGGTAGGGATTTTTTTTTTTGGGGGAATGCGTTTACGCACCATACCATAGCCCGAGCTACGGCGTGTGTGGGACTCCAGGTTGTCTTGAGGAGACCACCTAATACCCACTAAACCCTAACCTCCGCGTGGGCCGACTCATCAGCGTCTCGGTAGCCATGTGTTGTGCGTGACCTGCGGTCTGCTACAACGTCTCCTCATGTGTTTCAGTCTCTGGGAACGCCGGGTTGGTTCCCTTTACCTCGCACATTCTATCGATGTCGTTAAGCGATCATCGATAGAGGGTCTGCTAGGTTCTCTTGAAACTCTTGTTTCCGCGGGTTCTCCTAGTCTCCTAGTCAAGGTTCCAGTTAGCGGGTGCCAACTGGGACCTTGGTCTGGGGGTTCTGCGGTTGCGAGGCCTCTCGTCCGGATCGTAGTCCACGAGGAATCGTAGCTGCTCGTTCGGGTGGTCCTGAGCATGGGGCCGAGAAGAGTATCAGGGTTTTGGCGGCGTCCGTTGCTGATACCGAAATTTGGTAGGGAGGGGAGGCACATCGCGGGCCATTAAGTTGAGCGGATTTTGAAAAATCAACAAAGCGTGGGGAAGGGATAAATTATATTCGCAGGAGCATCGCTGACGTCTTCTCGACTATTCAGGTAAAAAATTTGTCGCGTGGATGTTCGTCAGAGAGCGAACAGCGGCTAGTGCATTTTATATACAAAATATTTTTATCGTTCTAAGTCTTAAGGACAGATATACGGGGTAATATATGTTTGAAATATGCCTAATATGCGCGTAGGACTACTGGGGTTCGAAATTTTGGAGACTTTATTTTCAAAACTTGATAGATGCAAAACGGTATGAACTGTTCACTCCGAAATGGGAAGAGCTCGTTAACAAAGATACTATACATCCTTTCTAAAACTGTTCAGCTGGTTTCGTCGCACCCTGTATAACAATCAGGTGGTTGTTGTAAGGAAAAAAAACCTGTTTATACGCTAAACGGGTACAAACGGACAGCGTCGGTGCAAATGACATTCTTCCGATAACGATATAAACAACATGACTGGTTGACGCCGTATGAGTTACGACTATTTGATAACCAGTGATAACGTGGAATTGGACTATTAATCAGTACGCACTTTTTTCATTTTATTCTTGTTACGAGAAGCGACAGTTTAACCAGACGCGTTATAGACCAAGAAATATGGAATCGAAAATCATATACGTCGCTTTGATTGATCGATTTGGTTATATCTAAAGATTCACTAGAAAGTTGTTTATAGGCATTATTATTTAAACAATTTTACTTTTTGACGTCAGAAGCTGAACAAGCTAGTGAAAGACCTAGCTTGTTACATGCATACTATAGCTAAAAAAATATAAATACAAAACTACGAACACCCCGATTTCTGACTGTTTTTGTTGAAAACGTCTGAGATCGATGAAGGAACTGACACGACGCGGGTTTTCCACCCCAAATTTGTCTAGGACTGAATAAACTTTCAGCGTGAAACACGTAAGTTTCGCAGGGGAAATTCACGTTAACCGGTAGCTTTGCAAAGGAAGAAACTCCCAACATGATGTTGCACCTGCTAGACTAGTCGACGGGTATTTTTTTTCATTCTCTATTCAAAGAATGTTTTTTTATTATTTATAATGCCATAAGTTCCTATAAAATTTTTTCTAATTTGTTCTAAAGGCCGATATTATAGCGTACTTTCTATGCACCCACACTACTCAGACAAATTAAGGAGCAAGAAAAAAAATCAAAATTTTTCGGTGATCTTTGGCAGGCTATATTTCTGTAAAAAATGGTCATATCGAGACCTTAAAAAATAGTTTTGACGCTCTGAGATTCAAGTTATCAGATTTTTTAACTGAAAAATTTTAGAAACGACGATTCTCATGCAATTTTTACAAATAGCTCAATTTTTTTTGTTTTCTATTAGGACATCATATTGACCGGACAACCCGCTTATTCAGCTCTGATATGATGGTTTTAAAATCTTGATACGATCAATTAACGCGGAGATATCTGTTTTTGAATGAAAATGAATCCTTTTTCATCGATCAATGATATCTCGATAACTAGTATTGCACAGAAAATATAAGGGTATTTCCAAAAACTGGAGTAAAATCCCAATAAAATTTGATTACAATTTTTGAGGAATTTTTTTATGTACTTAGTATTGGGTTTAAAAAAGCTGAGTAAACGAGCTATCCGATCCATTGATGGCACAACATAAAAAAATTTAAGCTCGCCTAAAAAGAAAAAAAAAACATTTTTTTCAAATTTTTTTTGTTGCGTTTTCTGTAAAAATTGCACGAGAACAAGTGCTCCTAAAATTTTTTGGCTGAAAAGCTTGGAAACTAGAATCTTGAAGCTTCCAAATGCTTGTTAAAGTCTACATACGACCACTTTTCACCGATATACAGCCTCTCAAAAATCACCGAAAAATTTGGATTCTTTCTTGCTCCATTAATTTTTTTTATCCATATTTGACTCATCATAGATTTACTCGTACTTAAATTTAGAATGATACAAACACTTATGGGCCCGTTCGACTGACTTGATCCATCTAATTTCTCTGTTGTACATGTTGACGCCTTTTTTTAGGAACTTACGGCGTTATATTTAGTGTTCTGCAGGCATACAATATATTGAATATTGTTCCTTCGTCGACTAGTCTATATCGTCATCCCCCATTCCTGTTTCCACCCCCGCTTTGGTGTGAATCACGCAGACGCTTCCCGAACCGTTCGATGGGTTGCACACAGCATCATGAAGGCAACTCAAATCGGGAATGGCCATGCGAGATAGCAATTGTTTTGTGACATTCCTAGAGTGTGCCGTATTTTGTTTTACTTTCAACTGTTCGGTGGTTTTGTTTGGTAAACGGTGAAGGTGCTTGCGGGAAGAGAAGCGTCACGATTCGCTGAGGTAAGGCTGAGGTTGCTTGATTTCGTACCGGTGTAATATCGCATGAGTTGGGGAT